AGGAGCCACTAGTAGCGTCCTTGCTCCTAGTAGTAAGGCCAGGAGCCCCTAGTAGCGTCCTTGCTCCTAGTAGTAAGGCCAGGAGCCCCTACTCCTAGTAGTAAGGCCAGGAGCCCCCAGTAGCTTCTTGCTCCTAGTAGTAAGGCCAGGAGCCCCTAGTAGCTCCTTGCTCCTAGTAGTAAGGCCAGGAGCCCCTAGTAGCTTCTTGCTCCTAGTAGTAAGGCCAGGAGCCCCTAGTAGCTTCTTGCTCCTTGTAGTAAGGCCAGGAGCCACTAGTAGCGTCCTTGCTCCTAGTAGTAAGGCCAGGAGCTTCTTGCTCCAAGTATGAAAAAGCAACAATTCTTTTTGAAAAGCACTAGTGTGTTCTGGCCAGGCAGCCGTGCAGATGACAAGAGAAGCGAAGGCCGGGCCTATCTCATTCGAATTGGTGTTTGGGTGCGTCCATAGAATGTGCGGTGCTTCCAACCTACTAGCGATGTCCTCCTCAAAGCAAATTCGGTGTTTTGAAAGAGTTGTGCACTTGGAGGCTCACAGCAGCCGGTCGCAAGGACCCTGAGCAGTGCACTGCGGCAGTCGGGAGTCCAAGATGACATCGCATCGGCTGCCTTGGCCACGAGATGAAGGACTTCTGATCAACCCTTAGTGATCCTTAATGTAGACTCTTGACTAATAAAAGCCCCCATATGAAGAGGCATTACATTAGACTTCCACTGATGTTTGCGAATGCAAGACTTATGCACGCAACATGACATCAACATGTCCCACTGGGTCATTTTGGGCTCAGACACTGAAGCAAGGCGCTCCCCTGGGGTCGCAACACCAACCCTCCTCTCCCCGATCTAGGATGCTTGAGCGGTGGATTGGCTCAGGCGCACAGAACTACTTTTCAAGGAGAGGTTCCCATGGGCATGGTCCCAACAAGGACTCATGATATGGTCCACACGCAAATCCGTCCCAATAGACGAGCCGGTTAAGTGGGGGCCTCCCCCTTCTCTGTGTCCGGGCACTACATGGGCTCCTGACCCAAAAACTTCTCATACAAATGGATCTTGGAGCTTGTGCCTTTGACATTTCTATACATTTCTGCCTTGGAACACATAATCCAAATGGGGGGCTGGCTGTGTGGGGTCAGCATCGATAAACACTGTTCCGAACGGCATTGAGGATGAGTTGGAACTTCACATCGCGACAGGATGAGTTTCTTGGACACAGCATTTCGGGTGCACATTCCTGCACGGTGGGACCAATGCATGCTTCAAGGCACCAGGTTTTTGCAAAGTATAGAGATAGAAAAGAATTGACAAAAAATGGAAGAAAGGTCTAAAGAGAAGAAACCAAAGACCCAACACATGCTTCAAGGCATTCGTTTTTTGCCAATCAGGGACTGTAGGGATGCACATGGATGCGCAGTCTTTGTGAAGTTTCGGAAGCTTCTCAGCTCATGATCCCGCTTCGCCATAAGGAACCCGTCCTGCTTCGCATGTAGCCCGGCGAAGCCACCCAATTGCACAGTGCTGTGATCATAGATCAACCAACGGCGCTTCATTCATGACACTGAAGAGAAGCAGGACTTTCAAGAATCCAGGATTATATAACACATTTTTGTTTGCAATATTAATCTATATATAATGAGAAAATGGCTATGAAAACTGCTTCCAAACACCAGCAGTGTCACTAAAGGAAGTGCAAACCAGGCTTGCTGCTGTCAATATATCAAGGCTTCGCATTTAGCGTCAGGAGTGAAGACCACCTTGACTTGTTTGCTAATTATTGGATCAAGGACTCAACGACCCTGTCCTATCAAAAGATTTGGTAAGAAGGCGACGACCCTTTTTTCGAAGGCACAAGGACCTTCGCTGGCAACACGTCATTTCTAAATTGTGCCGAAAGACGTTGCTGAAGACACATGCTATCGCCAGGCCAGGTGGTGAGAATCACTCACCTGCAATTCGTGCCACGCTCACTAGCACTCATGGTATTTCCGAGTCGTTGGTGACGGGCCCAAGTGTCATGAGCACTTTAGATGATGATTTCTTCAAGTCTAGGAGAACAAACACCGGAAATATCTGGTTATAGACTTTCCTTCCACGTGATGTGGATGAATCAAGACTGCCATGTCCTCAGATTGAGGAGACAAGACCGGACAAATGCATTGGATCTGAGGTTACAGGAAACACAGAAAGGAATGGAAACGGGCCTCCAAAATTCCAAGAAAGGCATCCATGCACTAGTTGGGTCTTTCTAATGGCAAGGAACACTTCAAGTATCTTTGGAAAAAGTGAGGAGCGGAGACTCTGTGGAGTTGTGTGCAGGATCGTTGATCCACAGCTTTCGGTAGCTTTTGCGAGACCCTTGGTTCCTGCAAGCCTTATGTTGTTTTCCCTTTCAAAGAGGAATCACTTCCTGCCACATCCAAGGCATGCAACTTGATCAGTTAAACTTGAAACTCGACAGCTCAGCAGAACCCAGAGCCTGGCTCAAGTCTGACCCGCAAGCGGGCGGCGTGATGTCAGGCGAAGCTATTTTGAGTCTGAGTTTTCTCGTGTTCGTGCACGGGGCATCCAAGCCATTTGGGGTTGGGTCAACACCTGGAGCCCGACCTGTCCACCATACAGCGAGTATCGCCGGTAGGTCAACCAAGGGAAAAAGAAGCCATATAATTCAATTCCGATCCATATGCCAATTAGATAAGCAATAGTGTGTCCAGTACAGTGCATAAAATTGTAATTTCGATCCTGTCCTTGTCTTTTGCCGTGTCTTTCCTGGGAAACCGGCTGTCCACTTTGTTCACTGGTTGGTACAAACATTTCGTTCTTTGTTTCGCTACTTTCACACTCCGTCTTTTCACACTCGTACCCGGTATCACTGTATACCAAGGGATGCTAGGAGTAGCGCGTGGAGATTGTCCGCAAGTCGTGTTACCAAGGTATCCTGGTTTTGACCCACAGCCATTTGTTTTGGCCCAGGCCAAGGCTTCTAAAGATGGCGACCACTCTCCAAAGGAATTTCAATGAGACATTGCACATTGCCTCGTTTCCCAGTCTCTCACAACAGATATAGACGTGCTTCGCGTGGTGAATTGCCACATGGCAAGAGGTTTCCACAAGTTCACAAGCACATTGTGTCGCTTCCAGTATGAAAGAATTCACACCACCTCTTCCCCAAGACAGGATGGAGCGTTTGCAAAGCAATCAGTTTGACCAAGACCACACTGCCTTGCCAACTTGCAGAAGTACCTGCAAGGCATGTGGTTGCCTCGTGAACGTCGAGGCCTAGGCGTTAGCCGCCATTTCTTGGCAGCAGGACTGCATGGGAGAATCGGGAATGAGCCAATCAATGGCTTGTGTCATAGTCATCCTCAGTAATCCTTCACTCCCACGGGTTTCTTAGGGAAGACAACTGCGAATCGCGGTGGGAGGTCCCAACATCTTCAGTATGCTTTTATGGCCGTGGCGTCCTGTGTGTGAAGTCATGTGAGACTTCCCAATTTTTATTGATTCCATACGAAAGGAGTCTACGGCACGCTCTGATCTATTTGTTTGTCCAACATCAGCATTCACTGGTAAACGAGATAGGGCCCCCACATGAACGAGATACTTTTTTTGCTGACACTAAAGTAGTCTGATCGAGATACTGTGATTTGCTACTAAAGTATTCTGACCGAGACACTATGACATGACCTCCTACTCTCCACGTAGTAAATAGTGTCTTTGAATTTACTAATTATATACTTACTGTAATGAATAAATGCCGCCGCTCATATGAAGTTCTTGGTCCACGTCAGAGGAGCGACACTCCTTGTCCTGGCCCAAACGTCCTTCTTTGCAGATGGGCTCTCATTTGTTTCGGCCCAATGCCCAGAACAGCTTTGGTGGGTGAATTACCACTCGATACATTTGACTTGTTCGAACAGCTGCGCAGCTGGCAACCCTTGAGCAGCATAGATTCAAGTTGTGATGAGGAGAATCCCTTGTTTGGAAGGCGAATCAGCTTGATGTCTAACTGCTTGGCAAGCTCGAGGTCAACACTGATTTCAGTGAGGATGTGATCCTCCTTCCCGGATTCCCCATCGCTGTTCTCAAAAAAAACGTCGACCGTCGCCTCTCGGCCGAAACGAAGCCCGTGCCGCACGTGCCGAGCCATCTTCCGAGGCCCGAGGGAGCCCTGGCAGTTTTTGGCCGCTGGCCCGGAGTTCCTCTGTGGACACCGCCACCTCTCGGAACGTTGGACGCTCAAAGACGGGTTGAGCCCTCAAAATGCCGCGGTAGTAGTAGTAGTAGTAGTAGTAGTAGTAGTAGTAGTAGTAGTAGTAGCAGTAGTAGTAGTTAGTAGTAGTTAGTAGTAGTTAGTAGTAGTTAGTAGT